GCTGACACAAATAGATTTATTTTAAAAATGCAACTTCAGCAAGGTTCTCTCTACAGAAATATCTACAAAAGTTTTGTGCTAGTTCTTAAAAAGAGTGAAATTTTCAAAGATTTCATCTTCCCTCCTCTCAAAACCCAGACTTCAAGGAAACATTTATTTCTCTATGTTGCCAAATGATTTTCTAATGCCAGCATCCAGTGTTTTTCTTTTTATGTGTGAAAATGAATACAGTAGCAGTGGCAAAGAAGACATGTAGCTGTTTGCAATAAAAAGAGGCTTTTTTGTGTGTTGGGCTTGGAAAGAATAGTAAGGACCAAGTAGATGTACTCTTCTTTTTTTTTAAGCCTCTGGAAAAAAAAGCTTCATCAGAGCAGCAATCAGGTTTAAAAATCTAATGTATGCATCTTTTTCTTCCCCAGGCAATAAAAAAACCGATTATGTTAATTTATATCAAGGTTTATGGGATTGCGCTGGTGATGTTCCTGATGAGCTGTCATTCAAACGTGGTGATGTTATCTACATTCTCAGTAAGGTACTGTATTCAACCCCTAATAGATATGGGGAGATAGTTGAAATTAGACCAAAGGGAAAAAAAGAGAGCAAACTTCAAGGTCGTCAGGAAATGGGCATTTCCTTTGCATCTTTCACACTCAGTGAGAAGTTCCTTGCACATTAATTATTTTGTCAATTTAATGTAACCACATTTGAAGTGTTATTGTGCAACAGGAATTGTCTTTAAAACATATTTATCTTTGTTTGGAATCTTGGTTACCCACCACTAAGTAACTTCCCGCTGAGACAATGCTCTTATTGCTTGTAAAATGTAGCTTTGTCAATATACTATGGAGTGGATGTGAATGTATATGTTTTACTTCCTTTTCTTTGGTACTTCTTGTATATGCTGATCTGAGGTGCGGGGGGAGGAGAAGAGAGGGAGAGAGAGATTTATATTGATAAACTTTAATAGTTTTGGCCTCAAGAAGAATCCAGGTTCTCCATGTGCATGCACATGGGTGTTATATGAAAATTTATGTTTTTCAAAGTAGCAATTTCTTCTTCCTTTTAGTAACCACACTTATCTCCTGCATTATTATTATTTTTTCCTCTATGTTTAAAACTTTTAAAAATTCCTGCCATACCAAAGCTAGAGGTCACTCATGACATCAGATCCCTGCAGGTTTTCATCCAATACATTACTAAGAATTTCAGCTGCTTCCAGACTAATATTTTCATAATATTCTCTAGGCCATGCCCTTTGTAATAGTAAACTGCAAAATGTTTTCCACTCGAGGTAAGAATAGCTAAAAGTGATCCAAAAAGATATAGGGTTACAAATAATAATTTGATAATGAATTTGCTCTGTTTGTTGTCTAACAAGTAAGTTACTCATGTGTTCTACTAACTCCACGGTCTTCATGTATCATATCTGTCCTCCTGACACTTCTTAGATGAAAATTTATTTTAATCCCATATTACAGATGGAAAACTGGGCCAACAGAGTATGTTACTAATAGAAGAAGTTGATGCAAAATTATTTACATGTAAAACATGTCTTATCTACTTATTTTGCATTATTTAATTCATTACATGGCTGCTAGGCCTAGAATGAGACAGAACAAACTTTCTATATGATATTTAAGAAGAAGCCCCTTTGAACAAAATGGGATTTTCTTTTGTTTGTTTTTTTAAAGAAACAATACATTGGATTATATTTTAATGTTTAGCATTCAAGTTTGTTACTTAATTGAGTAAACTAAAGGCTAACCCAGTTTAGAACACAGAACATAGAAGAATAAGTTTGGAAGGGACCTTGGAAGTCTTCTAGTTCAACCCTCTGCTCAGGCAGGAAATCCTATACTATTCTGGATAAACATTTGTCTAGTCTCTTTGTAAAAACCTCCAGTGAAACCTTCCAGTGATGGAGCTCTCAAACTTCTGGAGGTAAGCCGTTCCATTGGTTAATTGTTCTCACTGTCAACTAGAACTAAGGAAATGTTTCCTTAGTTTTAGTTAGATCTCTCTTTAAGAATCTCTGTTACGTCTTACTGCCCTTAGGTGGTTTGGAAAATAGTCTGAGCTCTTCTTCTCTGTGACAGTCTTTCAAGTGCTGGAAGACTGCTATCATATCTCCCCTAGTTCCTCTTTTCATTAGATTAGACATGCCTAATTCCCTTATTTGTTGTACTGTTTAGCCTCAAGACACCTTATCATGTTTATTGCTTTTGTCTTTCTAGGATTTAAACATCTTTTTAATATTGTGACCACAGCTGGATGAAGGTATTCTAACTGTAGTCTCACCAGTACAGTGTAAAGTGGTATTATTACTTTACATGACTTTGAAACTATTCCTCTATTAATGTAGTCCCAGATAGCATTAGCTTTTTTGGCAGCTGTAGCACACTGCTGACTCTTACTAAATGGTGGTCTTCCAGGACACTTAACATCCTCTCACAGTTACTACTGTTAAGGCAGGTACCACCTATTCTATACCTGTGCATTCGGTTTCTCTTGCCTATGTGTAGAAGCTTATTTTTCTCACTCGTTGCATTTGTTGGATATGGCCCAAGTGTTCATATCTGTAAAAGTCCTTCTGAGTCTTCAGACTAACACTTTAGGTATTAGCTATCCCCCCCCCCCATCTTAGTGTTGTCTGCAAATTTGATGAATTCTTTCATCCTGGTCAGGGCTGTCAAACTCACTCACTGTCAAACCCAGAGGTGTCACGCGCTGTCCATGCCCACACCCAGTTTGGTGAAGTGGACAAACGTCCTGATATCATCACATGACACCACTGTGACAATGAGAGTTTGATTCCCCATGGACTAGGTCATTTATGAAGATGTTCAAAAGCACCGGCTGAAAGGCAGAACCTTCAATTCTATTGCATGCTTCCTTCAATGTAGATCTAGTTTCATTGAGGATTGATTTCATGCTGACTGTGATTAGTTAGCCAATTGCAAATCCATCTGGTGGTGGTACTATCTACCCACATTGTTGTGCCTTACCAAGATTAGGCTATGATTTACTTTGTCAAGTGCCTTACTGGAAACTAGGTAAACTACTTCCCTAGCATTTCCCTTATCCACTAATTTAGTCACTTTATCAAAGAAGGCAATAAGATTTGGCTGGCAAGATTTGTTTTTTTTTACAAATGCTGACCTGTGGTAATATCTTGTTTATTTCTAGATGGTCTTGTAACTAATTTGTAGGTTTCTTCTAGTAAGTAATTTGTAGGTTTCTTGTAATTAAGCTCCTTATTTTTTAAAAGTATTTTTATACCATTTTTAATGGTAAGATTCATTGTTATTCAATCCAGGATTGAAAATCTTCCATTATAAAAGGGAGTATAAATTGAAGTACTCTTGGTTTCTAATTTGCCTAAATGTATTTGAAATCTTTGTCTTTTGATCTAGATCTTTGCAGCTTGGCTACATTTTATGGCCTGCAGTTACTTAATTTCTAAAACTGAAAAGAAATTTAAATCAAAATTCAACCTTTTCCCCAGTTTGAGTATATAAATGTTATAAATGCTTCTACAAAATACAGTCTTTTATCATCTCTGAATTTAGGAAACAAAAATGTACAGAATAATAATTTATCCAATTTTGAGACTTAATAGTCAGAGAAAGAATTTAAGAGTACTGTTAAGGTAAAATAATATAAAGCCTTTGAAGCTTAAAAACTTGATCAAACATTTCTTAAAGCTATCAATATTTCTTAATATTGACAGCTTTAGCTTGGATGTTTTTTTAAAAAGAAAAATAATTCTTTACCCCATCTAGTGGTTGACAATTAGAAGTGCACTTGTTAATGTGTGGCATTAAAAATGATGTCAGAAATTTAACTTCATCTTAGTTATTACTTATTATCCCCTCATCATATATAAGACATTTATTGACATTAATTCCAGTAAAATCTTACTCTCAAGGAAAAGTAATAAGCATTATATGATGTATACTCACTGAAAATAGTACAGAATTTATATTTTAAATTCTGCAATATTGCACACTAAAGTTTTCTCATAGTAATTGGATTCCTGAAAATTTGTAAAATGTAGTGGTTATTGTAGTATTCTTTTTTAAATTCTTCATTTTTTAAATAATCTCTGTATGTTCATTGCTGAAACAAATATATATTGTAGTTTAGATTAATTGTAATAGTGATTATAGTCAAAAAGTGTTTTTATTAAAACTTTATACCATTATGTTATTGTGATTGTTTTATCTTGATTTTTTAATGAAGATATTAACTTCAAATAATTCCATAATTCTTTAATTAAACATCCACATTTTTCAATTCATGGAGGAAAGCAGCTAAAGTAATTTTGCTGAAACAAGGAATCAGAATTCATTTTTAAAATATAGCAATTAAATTAATTATTTGATTATCCTTTTATTTCTTATTTAAAGGTCAAGTATCAAAATGGAACTACAGGGGGAAACCCATGTCATGATTTTAGTGGTTATATGAATTTTTGTTAATAATTATATCTTAAGACTCTTAAAAAACAAATGCAACTGAAACTGAAAAAGCTGATTCTACTTAAAATCCTGTTTCCATTTCCCAAGCAGTGCAGCTATTTGGTAGTATATAGACTTAATTTTCACTATAAATATACATATTGTCAAGATTTCCAGTAATTTTATTATGAGTATATTATGTGAGAAAGTGGAAGATTTACTTTTGTCAAGGTCAAGATGATCTTAGTTTGTAAATTTGACCAATTTCAAGTGCCGGGCACATACAATTATAAGACAACATAGTTGTTATTTTCATTCTTTTAGTTATATAACTGAAATTGAGGTTTGGGCATGTATTTCATATAATGTTTACTCTAGAAAGCCATCATTTGCACATTTACTTTGAGAGTAATAACCTTTAACAAAAATGCTACTTGCCATGACTCAGATAATATGGCTATCTGTAGAGTTTTGACATATAATATTGTATTGCTTTTTACTAGAAGTATTTGGTTTTGTCAGGACTAGCTGTGAGAAAAATCAAAATAAATCTGCCATCTTAAATTTTGTCTAATAGAATCATAGAAATCTATTAAAATACTCTATAGAAGAAAACCTTGATTTTCATTTATTAAATGCAGTTGCAACATTGCTTTTTTATTTTGGACTGTATCTGAAGTATATATTGAAATAGCGTTTTGAAACAATTGTGCAGTAATTGAGTAGAAATCATGATCATGTATTTTAGTTTTCAAATAAAGTAAATTGCTTGCCACTTTCAAACCATCCACTATCAGCTATCTGATTACCTTTCCAGCATACTTGATAAATTTGTGCATTTGGATTATAGGATTTTTAGTACATATCTAAAGCATTTAAAGATACCATAATCAGTACTGAATCCAAAATTTTCAAAATGTATTTTTAGATAGTTTCACATAAAGCTTTCTAATAGCAAGTGAGTTGCATTTCTTGAATCTGTGATTATACTGTATTCCAGAGCTAAATATTCATTAAGGATTTTTCTGTTTGTCATACTCATTCAATTTGTCATACATTTTAAAAATTATGC